AGCGTTCAAATCTGTCTGTCTGTCTATCTCTCGTTTCTATCAGTCTTGTTGTTGGTCTTTACAGTTGCTGGCTTTTGGGAAATGGAACGTTTGTTGTGATTGATTGCAATGGCCAATGGCCAGCGGTGCGTGTCGAAAATGGCCAAAATGTCCAATGGGCCCTGCGCTGGAGCGATCGGCGCGATCTGAGCGGTCAGAGCCGAGCAATTACGTTGTTTTCACTGCGAAAGCGAAAGAAGACATCATTAAGTTCGAATTAGTCGCTTGCCACATAGCCACATCGCCACATCGCCACATACACACGCACACATACACATTCATCCCCCATTTTGTTGAACAAATTGCGCCAAATATCCGACACATAAAGGAATAAATCAAATGAAACACAGCATAAGCCAGAGTTTAACGCTTGTAACTGCCTGCGATCACATTCGAAATGTTAGGACGAAAGCGAAACACACAAAACGCAATTAATCAGCGGCCGGACCTTTGAATGAAAGTCACCAAACCGAAGCGGGATTGCTCTTTTCGAGGGTAATGAGCATGCTTGGGAACCCTATGGAACCCTAAGCAACCCTACTAAGCAATGCCAAAGCAGCACATCCAACAGAAAGGGCTCTAGTAATACAGAGTTATCCATCATCTTTGACATCATCTGTAGTCTTTCATACATCCTCCAATCCCAAATCAAGTCTCAAACTTAAGACGATATCGGTACCCTATCGATACCCTATCGAAAGGTATTCGTGGTCAATTCATGTATAAATCAAAGCCCAGCATGTCGCACATTTTCATTAATTAATTTAATGTTGCAAATAAAATGCAAAAGGCGATAAAACGAAAGAAAAGAAATACATATCAAATGTGCCGCTCCGCTCTATTTGTGGCTCGCTGTGGATTTTGATTAATTTGTGCCCGCCCGCCACTTTCGCCCAATGTAGAGCAGATCGGGGACGGGATCTGATCCGTGTGATATTAATGAGTTCAGCTAATTATGCACCCACCACCAACCACAGTCTGCCTCTCCCCCACCCGCAACTGCTTCGTATTATGTAAGCGAAGCGACTCATCGGTACTAAGCTGGAGTGTTATCGATCGTTCGATTTGCATAACTCGATGATCTACGATCGATTTAGTTGACTCCAATCGCATTTGGGTTGTCGCTACCGTACGGCGATGTCATTTGTTTGCCTTGTCGATTGCCCAATTGAGTCTTGCCCTGGCTGATGGATGGCGGCCTTTCTTTCAGCTTCATTCAGCGTTTTATTAACGAGTACATTTTGATTTTGATTTGGATTTCGATTTCGATTCGCATTACTCAATAACGAAACGCAAACACAGCCACAGCCAGTCCCAAAATGTGTGTAATTACACACAGCCCCAGCCCGTCAGTCGGGCCCACTGAGGACTGAGGACTGAGGCGGTCTCCATTCAAACAGTTCGCTGAATTTAAAGGTTAAGCCTCACCATTTAAATTTAACAGCCCCCAAACACAATGCCCAGCCACGTCAAGCGATAAACGAAATGGGGCTTTGTTCCAATTTTATGTAGTACTTAGTTTGCAGTCGGTTTCTGGCCTGGCCAAAGTTCAAAATGTTAATTGCTGGCAAGAGGCAAAACGCCTTCACGGCAATGGTCAGGAAAGCAGCCCACCGCACAGAAACACCAAAAATCCGAAAAAAAAATCAACCACAAAAAGTCGATCAAGAGAACCGCAAACTTTGAAATATGTAAAGGGCATTCGGCTTGAGCTGGGGAATCCCCAAAAGCTACTGACTGCTAAACAAAGCTCAAAAAAGTGAAGTTTTTTACCGTGATGGAAATTCAAAGAAGCTCCTGGGAATTCCTTAAGGAAAGGAAGCTATTAATGCGGGCATTAGATAAAGGAAATACACAAGGTAGAATTCTAGAATTGATTGTGGAATGGAATCTTTTCTCACACATTTTATACTCCACAAAGTGTCTCTCCAGATCACAATATCACTACAACACTCGGGATTTTTCTGCCAAAACTCCGTTGCACTTAAAGGCCTCGTTCGAGTATCGTATCGGAGTCGTCACACACAGACTATCGATTTTTCAAATACAAGTTCAATTTGGGGCCGACTCTCTTCTGGACACCGCAAACGCCCACAGGCCCTCGCCCACGCCCACGCCCACGGGGTCCCACATCTGTGAACAACGAACAACTATAAAAGGCTGCAACTGGAGGCAACGGCAAGAGATACTCGTACTCGTACTCGTACTCGTACTCGTACAATAACAGCAACAGTAGCCACAAAATTAAACTCCAACGGTAGCCCAAGAAGAGAAGTGAAGAAAAATGAGATACAAAATACATGAAAGAAAAACAGATACTTTGGGGGCGCCGAAGCTTGTATGCTCTTGTTGTTTTCTAGAGTCCCAACTACCTAAGAATCTCAGAATGTGGCCCATCTGTGGAAAGGGCAAAGTGCTGCATTGAGTTGTTTATCAATTTCTATTGTTAGAGGAATGTTCTTCGAATGTTTGGGTGGTTGGAAAATGTGATCCATACTATATCCTGCATACTTGTATGTAATGTATGCTTAGGAATCATGCAATTCTCAATTCCATTGCGATATTTTCTAAAATTTTGGGGTATGCCGATGCGAGTCTATGTGCGTGTGTCCGTGTATGTACCCCCTTTGAGGGTATGTGTCGTGATCGCTCGTAAAAACGGAGCAATTGACAGGCCCAGATCTGTCTCCTTCAATGTGGGCCCCCGGGCAGCCGATCGGCAGTCGATCGGCAGTCGATCGGCAGTCGTCGTCGATACTCATAAATTGGATAAATAATAAATTGAATATTGTACATATGAATAAGTATAAGAAGCATGTGTGCGAGACTACATACGAGTACTTGTAGCACAATACTCAAATAATGTTGCATGCAACATCGATTATATGGCTTTGGTTTCGGCGCTGGCTCTGTCTCTGTCTGTGGCTCGGCGATTACGTTATGGCCAAGTATATACGATGTTTTTTCTCTTTTTTTTGGGGCCTTTTCACTTATTATTACTTATTATTTGTATTATGCGAGCCGCGCTCATTAAATTTCATTCATTGTGCAAATGAATGGCAATTGTTTGGCTCGTTTTTCGGATTTCAGTACCGAGCATCTGCGCTGAGCGTTGATATAATGCGCGTTGAGGATGGTGGTGGGGGCGGAGGTGATGTGATGTGATTATTACATGTCTGAGGCTGAGATCTAACCCAAATTGGGGGCTGCCTCTTCTGCACTGCCATTCCCCCACTCCAACCATTAACATCGGCCCAACATCGTGGTGGCTCTTTGACAACTCATGGCTGGGAAAACTGTCACAAGGCTTGCGGTTGGGCTGCTCTGTGATGCAATCTGAGGTCTACTTGGGTTTGACTTTGGTTCAATGAGTTGCTAAATGTAAGTGTACTTTGAAGATATATCCATGCTGTTCCCATACTCGTGTACATCTCAATTCTCTGTCTCTTGGAGAGCTGATCATCTTCATAGCCAGCTCCAGCTCCAGCTCCAGCTCCAGCTGACATCTCCTTTGATTACAACACACAACCAAATGAGCCGGCCGAATCGAGCATTGAAACGTAACTAGGCATTGTTTTGGCCAGAATGCGAAATCTGGGAAGTCTGGGAAAACTTTTAACACTGGATGTTCACTCGAACACTCACTGTGGCACACTCACTCACACTCGCTCAATGACATAATGACACAGAGACAGCGGCAAATGTTTTGGAAAAAGCCAGTTGCGAATGCAGATGGAGTTGTCTCGGAGTCGGAGTTGGGGTTGTGGTTCGGGGAAGACGCCACAGGCACCGGTACAGACACAGAGACAGGCTCAGGCACAGGCCATCCATGACAAAGGAAAACATACGGAAGCAAGTGCAAAATGCGGTCTGTGGGTCCCCAGTCCCAGCTTGAACCTCTCCCCTATTCCAGTAATTGCTGAAGATGTCGTAAGCGCGGCGAGATGTCTGGGAAAATGTTATTTGATACCCGCCTTTGTCTCGGGGGTCTGTCTCGACTCTCCATGTCACAGCTCCCCCTATTCGGCTCTGCCTCTGGCTGTGGCTGTGGCTCTGTCTCTGCCTCTATCTTTTTCTTTTGATTAATTTTGTGCCTTTCTTTGATGCCATCCGTCTGCTTTCGCCCTTTTGTTATATAGTTAGTTTGAGTGTTACTGACAAATTAGCAAGTCTTGGCAAGGTTTATGTAGTTTTCCTCTCGCTCAACACCTTCCCTCCGCGCGTGCAGCCCCCTTCCCCACTGTGACTCTACTGCAGCAGGGTGGGGCATGATGTGAGCATTTAATTGAACGTAACTGGCTGACAAATGTTTTAATATCCATTGCTGATAATGGGGAACCCGTACTCATACATACCTTGACATTTCCGTGGAGAATTTAAAAGTCTTTAGGAGCTACGTAGTGTGGAATAAAGTACTCTCCATACCTGTTAAATTCTATTCTGATATTGTGGTACTCCAATTAAAATACATTTCATGCAAAGCTACCGGGTTTCCTTAAGCAGATTTTGTAGCCATTTATCTCTGATTTCATAGAATTAGTCTTTGGCTGTAACAAGTTACCTCCGAAATCGAAGCAGCTACTACGAAACCTGGCCAAAGTGAAAGCGGTGCCACAAATCAAAGCCAGCAGCCGCTGCCAGCAGCCAGCAGCCAGCAGCGGAGCTCAACTTGACACTGGCTATTGGCCATTGGCCGCTGATGGTCGACCATCAGTCGACGGTTGACGACTTTATGCGCCATAATTCTCGGTTCCGAAGACAATGCCCAGAGATCAGCGGAGAGACCGCGCGAAATAGAGACGGGTCGGGACGGGACCGGACGGTGATAGAGATGGCGGGAGGGGGGGATGCAGATGGAGATGGAGATGGAGAAAGAGAGTTTCACTTTCGCAGACCGCGTTAATTAAGTCGCAGATGCAGATGCAGGGGTGCAGAAGGTGAGGCAAAATGATTGGACTTACCATTTTGAGTGGCAGCTGGCGCTTCCTGATGGGGCTTGCCCATCACCAGGGTTGCCAGGGACAGCAGAATGAGCACCAGGCAGCCGCCGACCAGCAATCGATTTGTGGCAATCGATCTTGTGGCTGCTGTTGCTGTTGATGCTGATTTGAACGATGATATTCCTGATGATTTTCTGCTAATGGGAGATGAAGATGTTGCTGGGGATATCGATGTGCTCTGCCTGCTGCTGCTGCTCCTGGGGCATCTGCTCCTTGTGTTGGCTATCATTGTCACTGCTTCGCTCTGTCGCTTTTGGTTGTATTCTGCTGTAGAATGAATGCTCGTTAAGGTTAGGCTCTTCACTTTTCAAACTGATCGAAAAGCGAGTTCGCCATGTGGCAGGGGCAGCTGCAACGGCAACGGCAACAGCAACAAAAGACAACTGCAAAGTGAAATTTCACTTTCGTCGATTCAAGTGGATTTGGCGCTGCAGAGTCCAAGAGCAAGTCGTGCCACAGACACACACACAGCAGCACATATACATGCACCTCCAACAGCGTACATATATGGGTATATGTGTGGGGTCACGCACTCCAACAAATCGGGGGGATACCCTAACTAGCCGAGAGCATGAACGAATTTATCAATACAAATATTCGGAGCTCTCTCTCTCCCCATTTAAATGAATTGAAAAGTGCTCCAACATAAATACTTTAAGATGGAACCTTTGATATGGAGATCCTATTAGAAGAATATGACTTGGGAAGCTCTCTGAGTACTCTCTGAATTGTATATGCTCTACTAAAAGATTTTTAGTATATTCTTTGTGCTCTTAAAAGGATTCCGATGTATTGAAATATATTAATTGAAAATATACTTAAAATTCATTCTTGGAATCTGCTAATTGTAGACTGCAAGGGGCTGCAGTCGAAGTGGAGTTTTTGGAAATGTGTATCATTATTCTTTTATAAAAAACTTCTCATTCGAGGATTTGCTCTGCGATTGCTAGGGTATCCCCCACTTCGTTGCCACAAGCCACGTTTCTAGCATCCACAATCCTTTGACCATTGTGTTGTAGTTGCAGTGGATGCATTTGTGGCCGTTGCCGTTGCCGTTGCCGTTGCCATTCCCGTTATTGTTGTTTTTGTTGTTGTTGTGTTTGCTATTGCTGCTACAAGTACGAGTATGCTCGTGTGGCTGTCATCCTATCGGCTTCGCATAAAAGTCATACAAATAAAATTTATTTTGTTAAACAGCAAGCACAGCAAGTTGACTTGCAGCAGCAGCAGCTGCTTGCCACCGCTGCTGCTCCCTGCTGCCACATGCAACGCCAGGCGGCCAGGCGGACAGGCGGCCAGCCAGCCAGCACTTTCGCAACAAATTTTATTTTGGCCAGTTTTCTAGTTATGGCCGTTGCCATTGTTAGTGCCGCTGTGCAGGAAACTATTAGCGCGGAACACACACAAAATCAAATCCAATTCAAATCCGAATCCGAAACCGACTCGGACTCGGACTTCGAATACAACAACAACAACAACAACAGCAACAGCACGGAATATTAGTATTCCATTCGGTTATTTGTTAAATTGTACTGTAATTAATTTGCATTTCGTTATAGTTTCGAGTGGTGCTCGTTGTAGTAATTATTTTTTGTTTTGGGTGTTTTTTTCTTCTGCTCTTTTCCACTTCTTCGGATTTTGTATTATTTTGTCATAATTTTTCGATCACTTTTTTCTCTTTTGGGCAGTTCCTGAAATGCGGAAATGGCGCGTAATCACGAATTCGGCTTCAAATTGAAAAACACTCCAGCAGAAACAAACAACAAAAAAAAAACAAATAAATAAATGATTCAATAACAACAAGCAAAGAACGGGAAAGAGGAAAGCAGAGCAAATGCAACCTGCAACCTGCAACCTGCAAACGCTTTCAAATCGCACTGCAAACCGATTCTAAGCGCATTCAAATCGCCCCGAAACCGCCTCGCGTCCAAAAACCGCTCAAAGCGCCTAACAATCGCACTCGAAACGCGCGCAGGACTTGGCGGACGTTAGTGTCGCCTGCTGTTGCAGCCTCCCATTTCCGCGCTCCTCACACAAACATACACACATACACACGCAAAGTTAGAAGCTCTTACGAGAGGGGGGGTGGGATGTTGGGCGGGGGGCCGGCGATAACGAGCGAACGTCGATCGGTCGACGGACGATGGCGGCTAAAATCGCGACGTGTGCCTAGCGCTCGCTTCGAACGCGGTCTGAACGGCGCGCAGGCGCCGACGTAAGCTTTTAAGGCAAATGCGGCAGCGGCAGCGGCAGCGGCACTGGAGAGCGCGGCAGAGAGAGATATAGAGCGAGAGAGCCACCGAGAGAGCCACTGCCGCTTGCTGCATTCATGAATGAAGCACGGAAAAGAGGCAGGCATCGGAGACAGAGCCAGAGGGCAGAGGCAGTGGCAGAGGCACACTCACTCGATCAGCTGTGGCAGCCCCTCAGCTTCTGCGTCAACGTCTGCGTCTGCGTCTGTTTCTTCTCGTGCCCCATAAACCGGTAAATGTTGTACAACTGTTTTGTGCGGCTACTGCTGCGGCGGCAGCTACCGTTATTGCTGCTCTGCTCTGATCTGCTGCGGTCAGCACGTGACGTATCCGCAAAAACAGAACCGCTATGGGAAAACTATGATGTTGACAACGGGTGAAGAGGGAGGATACGAAACCAGGAAGACTCGTTGAAGAGGAGGGAACAACAAAGGGGAATAGAAGAGAAAAAAACAAAGATTACCTTAGAATGTCCGAAGGGCAAGCCTCAAAGATTCGTTATTGATTTATACAGACAGATTTATATTTATTACAAGTAGCAAATTGTGTTTTGGTGTTTATCAGGTGTTTATGCACTGCTCAGAGAAAGAATTTCAAACCATTAACAGTATATCTTATGTATATCGAATAGGATATGACTATCGCTAAGATCTGACCACCATATCATACGAATCATTCCTCCAAGTGCCTTTTTTATGGCTTCCATATGAATATTATTCCTGATTTATCAAAAAAAAAAAATGCAAAATGTAAAATTCCACCTGGAATTGAACTTGCTTTCTATGGCGAATCCTCCTGAAATCAGATCAGGGACATTAAGTGGGGTACAGTTCCCGTCACGGCTAAGGGGCGTCGGTGGTGTAATGGTCAGCATAGTTGCCTTCCAAGCAGTTGATCCGGGTTCGATTCCCGGCCGACGCACATTCCATTTTTTTTCTCTTTTTTTCTTTTTACGAATCTTTGGATGCTTCTTTTTTGAGTACTTTTTAATGGTGGCTATTATTATGTATTTTTTGAGGCAGGATAAAATATTTTCAAAATATTTAATTTCATATGTTTTAGTGTGTTATCTGATTCGTTTTTATTATATTTATATTATTAAATTCTTCATATACTATAATTGCCTTGTAGTTGCTTTTTGGAGTCATGTCCCATCTGCAGACTGCGTCTAAAAGACTCTGTCTTGTATAGTGCCTGATATCCAGATACTTCCTCGGCCTCTGGTTCCATCTATTCTCTCCTTCTGCCTATGTACATAAATAACATACATTTTTTAGTTGTCGGGCTCTCCTTCTAAAGTTCTATTTCATTCTTCGACTGGCAAATGTTTCCCAAGGCCGCATTCCATTTCGCAAGACCATTTGTTTCGCCTCAAACTATCACCATTGCCTAATCCCCAATGAAGCCCCAGGCAGTCTTCGCCATTCCCCCCAAAATCTGCCTAATTTTGCTCACTCACTCTCACTGATTCACCGATTCACTGATCTGTTCCCGCCCCGACCCTATGAATGTGCCCTAAGCGAGATGCGTCTTGACAGGCACATAAACCAACACGCAAGACCGACGAACGTGACAAACACTTGAGTACCGCCAAAAGGGACAAGCTAACAGGCCTGCCAGGTTGGCTAGCTTTTGCACAAGATCTGGGCCCGAATCGATGGCCACAACGAGCCAGCGACGAGCTAATTGATTGGCCCACGACAAAGGCGGGCAGAAGAGTAATTAATCGACTAGCCCGGGGCCGCGCTTGGGGCTGAGATCGGTTGCTTTATCTTTATCTTCAAATTGGGGCCGCGAAATCATACTCAGCTTGCAGTTTTCACGCTGATTACACACTCCAGATGAGCATCGGACTAGCATTGGACTAGTTGCGGTGCTATGAGAACTCCTTATTAAGCTCTGCTCTGACTAGATACCATTTCAGCTAGCTCTACTCTAAACCCAATCTTTACCGACCTGGGGGCCATGCTCTTCGCAATTCGGTTCACCCACTTGAAGCTGAGAACGAAATCACGAGCAGGTCTGTTCATTGTTCATTGGAAAAACTGTACAACTTTCATTCCGATGATTCCCAAATAGGGAGTACATTATTGACTATAAGCAAATCTTCCTCCTACCTTCTGAGTAAATATTTACATCCTAATTTAGCCCCCCTAAATTCTACCCACACCCAAAACGGATTCTGTTTCTTCTCCTTATCTTGGGTACTCATTCTTAGGAGTTCCGATTATTCCTGCCTCAAAAGATAACGTCTCTTTTGAAGTATCTTTCGTCTTTTATCTGACTGGATTCTTGCTCGCCTGTCTTCTATAGTGTCTTTGTACCTTTTGAGTGGAAGTTTTAAGCCTGTCATTTCCAGAAATTTTCCTTTCTTCAGGTTTTGCCTCTTTGTCTCTTGAATAACTATGTATCTTCCTTCCTCTGTGTGTGAGAGTATCTCAACCTCCAGCTCATACTCGTACGGGTATGTGGGCGGTCTGGTGTCTGGTGTCTGGCGATGTTGGTCTTTGAGATACCTGGCCGGCGACATGACAAAGTCAGTCTCTTCCGCCAAGGCGCCGCCGGCTCTGAGCTCTAAGCTCTGATCAGCCCAGCTTTTGGCGCTAATAGTGGGGCATTTTCCACTGTCGGGTGGGAATGGTAACGGTAACGACGGTGTAATGGCAGGCAGAGAGGAGCGCGCGGAATGCGGAGTGTGGGGAGTGTGTGAGGCCAGGGCGTGCCTCAAATCAGGCTTAAAAAGCAATTACGCACTCTTCGCAGTTGTCGCCGATGTCGATGTTGGAGTCGACGCGACTTCCTGCTCCAGGCCTCGCGAATCGCAAATGTCTTTTCGCCGTTTCCCCCTCCTGAACAGCCAAGCCAAGCCAACCCCTTCCTTCACTAAAACCCCATTCCACCCCATTCCCATTCCCATTCCCGTTCCACATTTGGCCTGTCATTAAAAAGATAGTTTTCTACTCTGTTTTGATGTTTTTCTTCATTTTGGCTCCAGAAACGACAAGCTTTCCTCTTGTCCCCTTGGGCTTGGGAGGACCGTGGTGCCTGGTGCGCTTCCCATGGGCCATGACCAATGGCTGACAAATGCATATATTTACAGACATACATCTGTACATACTAGCATCTTACATCTTACATCTTACATACATACATCTTTCAGTCTGTCCTAGGCTCCAGAGAGGCAGAAAGAAGGAGTAGAGTCTGAGATTTATGAGTCTGCATAAGATATTAGACTCAAAGTTGGGGCCACAGCAAATTGGCAGAAAAGAGTACCATGAATCAGTCGCCCAATGGCGGCGAATGGGCGTGGGGCGTGGGGCGTGTGGCATGGGGAATAACTCTGGTGAGATTCATTTTGAGGGGAAGTGAAAACGTCTCCATCCCCATCTCTGTCCCCAAGACGAAGCACGGCCCGGGCCGAAGGAGGAAATCCATCGAACAGGAATCAAACTGCAATCGAAACTGCAACTGCAACTGCAATTAAAGCGCTGCAATGCGTGTGTGTGGCATAATCATAATCGCGTCCAACCTCACCCCACGGCATCCTTTTCGCAATCGCCGGGTCCACAAAAAAAGCGAAATATAAATAATAATTGTGGCAGAAATTAATGAACGCAGATATAAAGATCGAAAGATATAACGATACGGTCGAATCGGGTCAGGACTGGGGAAATTTATGAATTACACGCCGCCAGGTGAAGCAAGGCATGGTTTCATACCTTTTTTTCTCTCACTAGATCGGATTAGAATCAAAAATGGAATGCATACAAAAGAAGAAAGATGAGTTAAAGGCGTAGAAAGAAGAGAAAGAGAGTGAAAAAGAAAGTGAAGATAAGTGAAGGGAAGATATTCAAATTCTTCCACTGTCAAAATTTTTCAGTTGGCAAACACTGAGGTTATTATTAAAAATAGTTTGTTAAAAAAAGGGTGAAATGTTTTTGTTAATTTTTTAATTAATTTTTTAAAACAATGCGGACTTAGCCAGCACTAAAACGCTGGGCTGCTATCGATTGTTTTGCTCCAATCGAACTTAAGTCCAATGCGGGAACAGTGCTGGCGCCCCCACCTGATGTTCGCTTTGTGAGGAACTAACTTTTAGTCGAGACCGAAACCTTTAGCAAATGCATCCACCAGAGATCGAAGGCCTTAGCCAATTCATCCCCCAGAAGAATTTAGTACGCAAAGTGTTATACCTTTTGGCTGCTCGAAGGTTGATCGCCAAGCTAATGTTGTTTAACATTGTGCGGGGAGTTTCGTAACAGAGTCAGCAACAGAAGCTGTTAGAATTGTAACTTGGACTCCTTTTTGGGAAATAGAGAGGAACTCCACGAATATTCGATGGCCATTCTCCTTCCCGAACCATGCCTTATGCGCTAACTAGCCTGATACGCTTTTCAAAATCCATTCACTTTTCCGCAAGTGATCCATCGATCTATCGATCGATTCATGACTCATGGGCAAATCCTCTGGCACCGCACCGAAATTCTTATACCCTCTCCATTGAGTATTCTGTCATGGCTCGCTTTCGCACTGACAGCAGCTGCACGTACTCGTATTGGAATCGCTGTAACAACTGCCGCAATGGCAACATCGGGCATTCTGGTCGCCAAGTACGACGACAACAGCTGTGCAACAGTTATCCAAGTGCCCCTGTGCCTGCCCTGCCCCGTCTTTCCATCTCCCTGCGTATCATTGCATGCCACACTGCACCCACACACCAACAGACAAGAAGAGTGACGGGAAAGCGAAACAATAGCTTCAGAGGTCGAATATTTAAATACCCTTGCAAAACAATCGCTTCTATCGCATCAATAAATACGATTCAAATATCTTTAATAAACTAAAAAATACCTTATCTAACGAACGATCGTTTCGAAAGCCGCGATTCGGAAATTAAATATTTGTA